CAGCTGGGATAGGCTCCGCCCCCCATGACCCTGGTGAGGATTAAGCGGTGTATAGATAATGGATCTTATTATTATTGTTTCGGTGTGGAACAGGTGTACAACACATTTCAGTGCGCGGTACACCAGGTATAACTGTTTGTGACCAATAATAGACCTTCAGTCCTTGAATCCTTGAAAGAAATGTTTCAGAGAAGTTAAAAACTACAGCTGTAAAAGAAACTGTGTCCCCGATGTGGCAGCTGTGAAAACCAACTGGGGTTATCATTTATTCATATCTTCATCATCTGTCCGTGATCAGATGCTGATATGTTTCCTCATTCACAGAGAAACCAGGAGTTTCAGGTTAAGCTGCTTCAGTAATGTGAGTAAAATAAGTCCAGGCCTCTACGAGGAGCTTCAGTCTGAGGAAGCAGGCGTCACACGTTAATGTGAGCAGCTTTTTAAAGGTTTACCTTCATGCCGGAGCCGAGCGTCTCCAGGTCTCCAAAGTCCAGACCCTCCCTGCAGGCGTACAGACACTCGACCACACTGTGAGGCTCCACGCTGCCGGGTCGAACCGTCACCCCCGACAACAGGCCGTGGTAACCCCCAACATACCTGACTGAGGTGTGGACAGCAGAACACCATCAGCCTCTAACACACACTTCAGTAAAGCAGCGGTCACATGAAGCTCTGAGGTCACCTGAGTCTCTGCCTTCAGGGATGCTGTTGTTCAGGATCTCCCTCTGCTTCTCTTCAGGCTCTGCAGGGAAACAGAAAACAACAAGGCTCTGAAGCAACGCTGGAGAGAAGAAACAGCTGAGAAGGTTCAGGAGACTGACAGAAGGAAAATATATCTATTTAAATAAATAAACCAAGCAGCACAAATGAGAGGCAGGAAAAGAGTCGACGATGTTCAAACATGCAGCATCTCCTCATTATCCAGCAGCAGCTGCTGCCGTGCAGCTCAGACTTCCACTGAGAGGCTGTTTTTTGTTGCTAATTGGCAGCCAGAGCTCCCATTTTAACCAGCAGCTCAGCGTTACTGGCTGACGGCTGTCTGGCCTCCGTGTTGCTCTGCTGCCTGAATTATTAATAAGTCCGTTATATTATTAGTCCTCAAAGACAGAATGCATCAAACGCATTATAGAGATGGAGGGAATCAGAAGCTGCTGTCTGCGGTGCTGCTCGGTTTAATCTGCAGCCTGTTTTCATGAACACAGCGACTCTCACCCCAGCAGGCGCCGATGAACATCCTCTGGCGGGCGGCCGGGTTGGGTATGGCGCCGTTGTCATGGATGAGGGCGGGGTCAAAGGTCACGCCGTCCACGTACAGGGTCACGGAGGGAAACTGGACGCTGAGCGACAGGTGATGCCACTCGCTGTCACACACCTGTTGGATGAGAAAACACCAAGCGGACATGAGACGGACGATCTGGAGGAAGAACTTCTCACCATGCTGACGATGAAGGAGAGTTTCTGTGCAGTGAAAGTCTCCAGTTGTTGATGAAACTCCCAAAACTCTTCTGTCCTTGTTAAAGCCACACATTTAAAAGCTGTTTCCATAAAATAATCCTTTGTTTCCCTAAAATGTCTCCGATGTAGCCGCTGTTGCTGCTTCATCATGAGTATCCACAGTTACAATGACAGATTCGCTCCATCACAGCTTTTATTCCAGATCGATATAACATCACTGTGACCAGTCAAACCAGTGACAGCCTGAACCCTGAGCCTGGGATCCAGCTCAGTCAGGAGAACAGCTGCAGAGACGTCACTGGTCTGAGCAGTTGTGATGCTGCTGCTCATGTGAGGCTACAAACTGATTCTGCAGGACAATGAATCAGAACGAATCTGTCATCAGGACTCTGCAGTCTGAGATAAAAACACCATATGGATGTTTAAGGAGGTAAAACAGAGGATTTTATCCACAGAAGGTATTTAAAGGGTCACAGAGAGTCCTGAGACTGTGGATGATTCATGAGGGAGGGAAGAAGAAACTAAATCCTGTAACACAGATCGGCTTTTTTGGTGGCTGGTTTTGCTTGTTGCCAGTTATTGGATTCTTCCAGATAATTTTCATTGATTAGAGGAAACGTGTCTTTGGTGGAACAACTGAACCCAGTCAGACTTTTCTGTCTGAGGCCAAAAAGGCAAACTTATCGTTAAGTCATACTTAAAAGTAAAACTTCTTTCCACTGGTGAATATTACATCACATGTTTAAGTAGTCTTCTGGTGCAAACAGAAGGAATACGGTATCAGTGAGTTATCAGATACCCTGGTTCAGACAGAAGGATTTAACAAATCTTCTCTGCATCAGCTCAGCATCCTTTAATCCCACCGACTTCAATCTGTCTGGAACCTTCAGTCAAAACAGACCCAGTCACAGGAAACCGCCGCTTTAACGGACCTGACTGCATCAGTTTCCATATTCTTTATAAAAACAGTCTGAATTCTGTGTTTCTAGTTTCCTACATGTGAACATTTTCTGGTTTCTTTCCTCCTCTATGACCCTAAATGTTCAGTTTGCTGTCTAACAGAAACAGGAAGTTGCTTCCATTTTGCTTCCTGTTGTGAGAACGACACTCAGTCTCGTACCAGCAGAAACTCATTTTGTAATCATAGTTGAAGCGTGTTCACAGGGAAATGTTCAAATGAGCTGCTTACTGAGAGAAAACAGCCTTTTATCCAATAAACCTCCGACTATCAGGTCACTGCAGCTGTTTCTCTGGTTTCTGTCAAATCAGGTCAGACGTGGACACGATGCAGAAACAAACACTAAGTGAATGTCCTCTGCTTCAGCCTCATTTCCAGATGAAACACAGAAGAACTTGTACCTGCTCCAGCTTCCACAGGAACTTTACGGGCCGAGCAGCCGAGACATCGGGCCAGTAGAAGAGCGAGAGGCGGCAGCCGTGGACGGACAACGAATAGTGGGAGAAGGAGTCATCTGTGGAGCAGAACCAGCGCCGGTCAGGTTATCGCAGCTCTGAAGCTCAGATCTGAGCCACTGTGAGCTGCACCGTCAGCCACAATATTCACAGCACACAGCTTCAGGGTTTTCCTGGTTCTGTTCACTCAGCTGCAGCAGCTTCGTGTCAGATCGAAACACTGCAGCTGCTTTTTAATGCAGTCACAGGTTTGCATTAAATGCCTTTAAAATCTAGCAGAACAAGGGCTGAAGGATTGGAACCAGAATTCTTATGAAAGTTGTGATTTGATGTTTGCTTCAGCAGATTGAAAACACGTGATGGAGCGTTTCCACATGAGCTGCAGGAAAACATGCAGCAAACAGAAGTGGTTTGAAACCATCTCGTGATTTTCACTATCATGAATCTGTCGACTTTACTTTAGAAATAATTGATTATTTGTTTTAAATGCAAATTTCCTGAAATCAAAGTGATGATTTCAGATAAAAGCTCTCAGATCTAAAAGCTGAATGATCTGGTGACAATATTCTGACAGATATTGTGATTTATTGCATCGTTTGTGTCGGAGTCACTGTTTCATCGACATTAGAAACGTCCTGAAGTCACAGTGGCCCAGAAGCCCACCGGGTCGAAACAGTGAGGACCGTGGGTCTGAACTGCAGCTGCTGTGGTTCTGTGCTGTTCTGATTTTGTTGTGTCAGTTTTGTGAGCTGAAGTCTGAATGAATGTTTTAATGCTGGTTCTGAATGGAACCCACCGTTCTTCACGGTGCTGCACACGATGGTCTCCTCCTCTTTGCGGTTTCCTCGGGTCTGAGTGGCGGCGGGCTGGATGTTGGCTCCGCCCCTTCGCATCCACAGCTGCAGGGTGAAGTGGTCACCTGACAGCGCGGAGACGACTGGGTCCGGCACCACGGCGACGTGATTGGACCCGTTGAAGGAGAAGACGAGGGATGAGTCGGAGGAGGGCAGCGTGGGCAGAGCCGAGGTCCAGTTGGCTGCAGGAGACGGAGGCGGCAGGAGGTCCACTTCTCCCCGGACCGCACCTGAAGAACCAACACAGCTGGTAGAACCGGTTCTGACTCCCAGCAGGCTGCATGTTTTAACTGAAACCAGTACTCACCACAGAGCCGGCGGACCGATCGGTCCGAGTAGCTGTCCCGGTCACAGCCTTTCCCGATGTGTCCGGTCTGCAGCTCTACGGTGGCCTGGATGTTCCACACCGTCTCCTCACAGGTCTCCAGGTGCAGGCTGGGAAACAGCGGGATGCTGCCCGACCCGGGAGTGTACTCCACCCGCTTGGTCCATCCTGGAAAGCAAGGAAACATGTTCCATCACAACAAATACC